TATATATCTATATATATATATATCTATATATATATATATCTATATATATATATATCTATATATATATATATCTATATATATATCTATCTATCTATCTATATATCTATCTATATATCTCTATATATATCTATCTATATATCTATCTATCTATATATCTCTATATATATCTCTATATATATATCTATATATATATCTATATATATCTATCTATCTATATATCTCTATATATATATATCTATATATATATATCTATATATATATCTATATATATATTCGAAAAATGTTAAAATTGCAACCAGTGGAAGACATCTTTTGGAAGCTAAAAGTAAAGCTTGGACGGTTGAAACTGGTTAAAAATTTATTTTAAAAATATTAAAATATCGGAAGACGTTTCGGTCAAACAACTAAGACCTTCATCGGTTCTACTAAAACGATGAAACTACGTCTATATTATATAGGTTACAAACAATTATGCTAAATTGCTACTAATTTGTTCAAGATAAGAATAAATATTCGGAATGTCATTAGGACCATACTAAAGTATGTTAATTGTTAAAACTGAAAACAATATAATCTCAGTAATGTCTTAACGAACACAATTATTATGTTAACTGGTATTGAACCATACAAGGCAATTGTAAATCTGAGGAATGTCATTGTGATCATTTCCCGCATTGGCTTGTCTTAGAGAATGCCACGCTTCAAGGAACAACCTTTTGTCATGGTCTAGTTCACGATCGACAATTTTGGTATTTTCAAAATCCATTTTGTGAAGGTGGGTGTTTGTGTGTTGCGCTATTTTAGAATATTCATCGTCGTTTTTCACCGCGTTTTTGTGCTCTTTGATTCGAGTTTTCACAGCTCTATCTGTTTGGCCAACGTAAACAAAATCACAATCTTGACAGTCAATGCTATAAACCACAGATCTTGTTTGGTCTCGGTCAATTCAGTCCTTTGGCTTTGGGAAATGTTTGCGTAGGGTGTCAATCGGTTTATAACTCACATTAAGGTTACAAGATTTGGGGATATCAGACACCCACAAAGGTGAAGTGAACAAAGACCATTGGGTCAAATCTGTCGAAGCGACAACTTTCCCACCAAGAGCTCACAGTCCTACGTAATGGTTTGAATTTTGCTAGTACGCCAAAAACCATCCGTATAGCACATATCGTAGCAAATATAGAGAAGGGAATCAAAGAACTTCCTGGTAAAACCAAATCATCGATTCGTGCATCTGTTGCTAACATTTTAAGACATGGCAAACCACCCGCAACAAAAAACATGTCCGATCAGCAAAATTTAGCTATGAAAAGGTTAAAACGAGACCCCTCGATTCAAATTATATCTGCCGATAAGGGAACAGCTATAGTTGTAATGAACGAAGACGATTATCAGCATAAAATTAACTATCTTTTGGATGATCCCACAATATATTTAAAAATAACAGACAAACGTAGGAACCCCACATCTAAAGTTGAAAAAGATATGAATAGTCTTTTAAGAGAGATTAGATCGCAACCAGCAACATATAATCAAGAAACAAAGCAAATTCAAGACAAACTGTACTATTTTTTACATAGCACAGATGCCAATGTTGCCACATTCTACGGTTTGCCAAAGATCCACAAACCTGAAATCCCTTTACGTCCCATTACCAGCTGTATTGGCTTTCCCACTTACCCGACTGTCCAAACATCTAGTTCGTATACTCTCTCTCCCCCATTTTGAACGAA